GCTTGAACCACCCAATGACGAAACTATTAGGCGAACAGTGGAAGCAAAAGCAAAACATCGAGAAGAGCGGTGAAACATCGACTTGCTTCTGTAGCGCAGCCGCTAACGAAAACAGATAGGATAAAAGTAGATGAAATGAGAACCGTTTATAATTGCTCAATGGTTCAGGGCGAAAGTGGTCGGTTCTGTTCGGTGGCCAAGATATTTTCAAAGCCTCATATAACGTCTCATGCAAGAACACTATTTCACACGGGTTTCTAATATGTGTTTCCTGATGAGTGAGCATAGCATTACCGATTAACATTTTTGCAAGTATCATAAAGCTAACGTCGCGTTCTGAACTCAAGCAAAATCCTCACCCGTTGCACCGACAGATTCCAGAATGAAAATATAAGTTAGACGCATGCATGCACTCGAAAACGGTATATCGAAGTGTGTACAGTCGTTAAACTACCAACGTTTGCAAGATGGATCTGGCGAAAACCATATCGCTACTCCTAAAGTCCTAAAACGTGTTTTATAATGAACAAGGCATCAGCTGAAAACATATATTATTTCTGCAATGCCATTCGATCCTTGCGCCTTTGCATCAGTACTCGACCGTGAGTTATCATTCAAGATTGTTTTTGCAGTCGTCATTTCTCAATTCATTTTACTTTCGTCATACTCTCATGATTACAAGGGCTGCTGTGTATTCCGAAGACATTACGTATTATCGCCAGTCGATAAAGCTTCCTACAGCATAACCGAAGTTTCAACTTCTCCATCAGCATATTTTAACTGATTATAGGAGTTTACAAGATCTCCTCTCCTTAAATAGTTGATTGTCTTCAGGGTCTGTTTTCTGGCATAAATTGTAAAAGACAAACTGAGACACTCAGAAGGCTTATTTCTATTCGAATAACTTCGACAACCAAACAGGTCTAACAGCACTGAAGCTTTATTCATTCGGCGGAAGCTCATGTCAGTTTTATGTTTGTTTTAATGTCAAAAAAAATTAACATCGGATAATTACTGTTTTATGTGCTAACTTTTAGCGATGTGTGGCGGATTCCTGAAGCAGGATACAAAACCACAGTACCTCGTTCAGCCAACTGCTCCTGAATCGGCATTATACCGATGTCGGTGGTACATGAATGCTTCTGAAACAGGGTTCACAACTTTAGTGCGCTTCGTTGCCATGCAGATCCCATCGGATGAACAGTGCAAAGAAAACTATGTCGAACTGGTCGAAGTGTCTCATGTAAGCATGTTGTTAGCCACTGGAAGTGCTGACAGTGTGGAACTCATGAAAGATAGAAATACTACCATTCGTGTTTTAACTCAGCATACTCATGCTCTGCTTTAAAATACATGTATGTACTCTGCTAGTGCACTCTCTCACTGCAAGCAGGATGACTTTAGACACAGAAGAATGACTTTCTATGTTGTCAGTAGGTTCTTGTTGAATGAGTTTCCAATTCTGAGCTCACAGTTGGTCACAGAAAATTTTCTCCATGCAAGTTTGAAAACCCCAAATGCTAAACAAGGGCGGAGAGTCATACTCAACAGTCAGTGTGTTTCGCTAATGACACCATGAGTGAATGGACGTCACTAACTGTTGGTAATGAAATACGTCGGCCCTTGGTAAAACATATCTCTCTGATTTAAGTTTAAGTTTCCTAACCATGCACCAAGAAAATAGTCCGCAGATACCGAAAATAGGTATTCAATTCATTCATGGCCAAATTTCGTGACGTACCGTATCACCACTCTCTTCCTCGTTACCTGAACAGAAAATCTAAGCCAGCGTCGGCTCCATTATATTTGCGTACATCGCATAATGCTTTCTCCACTATAATGTCTGCTCATCAGAAGAATGTTTCAGAAAGCAGTAATTCCGCATTGCTGATGAACTACAGTAAAAATATCAACAATAACGTCAAGTGAATTAACTAGAAAAATAGATATCAATATGCGTATAAGGAAGATTGATCTCTGAAATATCATCCTGAAGAAGCGTAGATTGCTTTGTTAAATAAAGCATTCAAGATTCAACTGACGCTGCTGGCTGTTGTTAAATTTGTTGAGACCGTAACTCTTAGCCGCTTACAAAATAAGAACAGCTCTGATTTGCGATATCCGCAGCTTTTCAATAGTTTTGCTACAAGGCACCGACCACTGCATCACAGAAGGTAATATTCCTCTCCAAAAGCAGAGTTTCCTCTAATTTGTTGCTCAAATATTCAACTTCTGGTTTCCTGACATCGGAGACTGAGCAGCTGAAAACTGCTTGGTCATCATATCTGTAGCACGTACTAAGAATTTTCACTTTCCATGGATTATATATTCACCATGCATAGTGAATATTAAACGAATGTCATGAAAAGACAGCGGATTCTGGCTTAAGCTCCAGGTGCTTGATTTAGTTCCTCGCGGAACAAAGCACTAAATGAGGGGCAGATCTGAATGAAGTGAAGCCTTAACTTGGCACAGCTACAGTAAGTATATAAGAATGTAGGTCAAAAATAGTCGCTCTATAAGACGTTTGTTTTTATTTCAGCTACTAATATTCGATATTTTTCAACAGGCCACAAAATTTTTCTTTGAATGCGGTGAATCGAGTGGCTTCAAGATGTACAGTAAGCAACCCATATTTATCAGTGCTGTTCGCAGTGTTGCATCTCAAGGCCCTATGAAGTTCAACATCTCCTATCAGCTGATTAACGGTTATAAATTTTAAACATTAACCAGGTGAAAAGTTTATTATCTTTGACCGTTTTTATTTAGATTGCAACCGCACTATTTTGTTGTCCGAGGAAAATATATATTACGGTCGTTTGACGAGTCCAAATTATCCACAGCCGTATTTTCACGACAGCCACTGCGTCACAAACCTTTTTGCTCCGCCTCAATATAGGTTTTATCTGTTCTTCAACTTCTTCAAAGTGGAGC